CATTTATTTCATACACTTTTGGAAAATATATGTTGGTTAGCAAGCAGGTAAACTTCCAAAGTGTTTCCTTAATCTGGGGATGAGTAAGCTGACTTGCCATAGCTGCACTGATTTTCCCAAGCAGAGTCCTTATGAATTAAAAACTATATGGGTACTTTTAATAAAACATGGGCATTTATTTATGACTTACTTTTTAAAAGTTAGAATTAATAGTTATACTTGTCATATCATCATTAAGTTTCTTTCTTTCTGGAGGAAGGGAAAGGGAATGTGTTGAAATTTAACCTCACGTGTTAGCTACTGCTCCTGCTGAGCCAGTGAGAGGGAGGAGGAAGCTCCTTTTCATACACATTAATACTTGGGAAATTTTGTTGTGCTTTACTTCCCAGATCTTTGATTTGCTTGTCAAAACCTGGTCATGCTTGCGAAGGTAGTTGCATGTGTTGCATCTTCCACCCCCAAAACAAAACCTAAGCAAGCGAACAAACATCAGCGCTTTGGGAAACACTGCTGAAGTTTAAGGAGGTGAAGGCAAGCTGACTGCTGCCTGCAATAGCTATTACCAATGTCTCACACTTGGTGGCTTTCTCAGGTAAGGGCTCCTGAAAGACCGTTGAGATGAGAAGACAGGTGGATTCCCAACAATGGGTTAGAGAGCCAGAGCTGCACTGGTCTCCAATCTTTGTGTCTGCTGTTCTTCCTGGCCGTCCTCCCAGGCCCTTAGGGACAGAGAGAAGGACAGCTCCCTCTCCGCACTGAATGATGTACTGCCGGTCAGGGACATGGTTCTGATTTGTGTGGCAGACAGCCATTCTCAAGCAGAGTACCTGAGTGAAAAGTAAGGAAATGACCTCAAGGTGTGATGTGGAGAGGCATGACAGCCCTGGCCTGGCACATCCCACACAAGTGGGTTATCCTTAAAAACAGCAATAGGAACAAGCAAACTGCATGCCAAAGTGCTACTGAAAACTCTTACATAATTGTAGCAGGGTTGGGTTTCCTCTGGTTCAAGTTTTCTTGCCTCATTGATAATCAGACGATCTGAAGAAAAGCATAGTATTTCAGGGGAGAATCTGCATGACAGCCTCACAATGAGGCCATTCACCACTGCCCTTTCATTAGCTCACATGCGATCTGCATCGTTCTCAGACCCTGGCATGGCTACAAGGCTCCATTTAAACTTAACCCAACTTGCAGACTTAACTGATCCAGGAATGACTCAGTACGTCCAGCCAGCTACTGTAGCTCTTTTCCTCTCTTGATAAGGGAATTTAACACAATGGGCTTTACAGTTCTTAAATGACTCCATTTTTTTCCTTGTCTTTGAACTGTGGTGCTTATGTGACCTTTTGTTTTTAATATAATTTCTCTTGGCTTGATTATATTTTTTGAAAGTCTACACAAACATGATATTGACCACCTCTCCTTTGAATAAATCTTTTAAAAAAATCTTACAGGTGATATAGACGTAAATTCATATGTCCTACATCCACATTGCTGGTTTCACTATGTTAGGTACTACAGTATTATGAGCTATTAGATATAGTTAAATCAAACTTGGAAAGATTTTCTTTATTTTTGAGGATTGATTCTGATTTGAGGATTGATTGAATTACTACAATTTATAGTAGTACTGAATTTCTATTATTGCACTCTTCTGGTTATTTTCACTACCTTATATGATATGTAAATTTAACATTTCAGTGAAATTGTCTAGGTGGTGAGAAGCCATGAAGTGACCACGAAGCTAGTAGACCTCTGTTTCCCCTCAAGGCATCATTGGTGGAGGAGGGCACCCTAACAGGACAGAGGAGAGGAGATCCTGTTGGGTACATTTGGTGGCACCAAATGTGGAGAGTACCCACTTTTTTCAAGGGTAGTGAGAACTCAGACTGGATTAACAGCTGAGAATACTGCTTCCAAAGCTTTGGGAATCACCGGGATGCTTGTTAAAAATGCGGGTGCCCGGGCTCCACCCTCAGCCCACCCCGCAAGATCAATTCAATAGGCTTGGGATGGAGGCCTGAGGAATTGCATTTTATTTATTTATTTATTTATTTATTTATTTATTGGTACTGAGGATCGAACTTGGGTCCTTGTGCTTGCGAGGCAGGCGGCAGGACCACTGAGCTAAATCCCCGGCCCGAAATTGCATTTTTAGATAAGCACCCAGTTGACTGGTGGGTGGTTATTGGAGCATAGTGAGAATCATGATGCAGAAGTCACCAGGGAATGGTGGGAGTCCAGGCTGCCTCCCCTCCAGCTCCTGTTGCCCCCAGGTGAGCAGGGACCCCACTCTGGTGTGATCCCCAGAGATAGAGGTGGCAGAGCAGCAGGACAACCCTAGTGCTTCAGGGTCTTGGAGCTGCATGAACATCCACCCCTCTTTGCTTGCATCCACATCCACCTGCCAGCACATCACATTCCCAGCACCGTGCCACTCTGTGGGCCTGTGCTGGCTGTGTGAGGCTGTCATCTCCCTCTCATCCAGCTTTGTAAATAGAATTCCCGGGCAGCTGTTATCTGCAGTAATTAATCCAAATGTATTTCTCTATCCCCACCCCCACCCCTATTAAAGTAGTTTTCAATTATTAGAAACAAAGGTCTTTTTCTAAAGGACTCTCAATTAGAGATGGGTTGTCAGGAAACCTTTTGGGAATTATATATCTTTATTTCACGAAGATGAGATTTTTCTTGAAGACCAGTTGATTTGATGGTCAGAACAGATAGGAGAAGGTAGGAGAAGTATGATGACACTGTTGATGTTTGCAGCACTTTTCTGGGAGTGCTGTTGTGGGCTCTGTTGTGGGCTCTGTTCCCATATAGCTGGCACACTTTTTATGGTGAGAATTTTCTGTTGGCAGACTTCATTGCTGTATTTATTTAGGTATTTACTTATTTGTGATGCCAGAGGTTGAACCTAGGACCTTGCAAGTGCTCTACCACTGAGTTATACCCCAAGCCCCTCAGCAGGCTTTTGGTGGTGAGAATTTTCAGGCCTATAAAAAAATAGAAAGTACTGATACTGATTACTCCCTTTCCAGAGGGCTCAAGATGTTTTCAGTGGCTTTTTGTATTCTTTTTTTTTTTTTTT